AAAAAAAGTATTAAAAATTAGTATTATATTTCTTTAGAGCTGCGTACTAGCACAAGTTAATTTATCACAGGAAAGTTACTTGACCGTTTCTTAAGCGTTTTTTTATATGAAGTTTTTACATTACTTGAGAGCTGGATACCAACCTTTTGCTGGAACATATATTGCAGTGGCTTGTGGTTATTGAGGATGAAAAACTCTYTTCCTTTTAGCATATACATGTTGAACATATCTAACTGCTTTGTATGCCGCTAATAATTCATGGTCGTAAGTGCTGCATCTTGTTTGTGTTTTGATAAGGCGATCGGAATAAAATCCTAGTAGTTGCCACTGGTGGTTGGTGTGTTGTTGTAATACAGGGCCTACAGTAGTTCCAGATACATCCACCGTCAAACWGAGTTGCGCTCTGGATTTTAGGTAAGTASAATTGCTTTACATAGGTCGTTTTTACATTGTTGAAATACCTATTTTGCTTCAACTGTCCAATCAACTAGCGATGCGCCGTTTTTCTTGTTACCTTTTATTAGGTTGAATAAGGCATTTGCCTTTCTGCAGCGCAAATCAAGAATCTGCGAAAACGTTTACCATAGCGAGAAAACGTCGGGAAGGACATGCCCTGGAAGTTATATTGAAATTTTGAATTGCCTGTACTCGTTATTCTGGTGGTGAGATTCCACTGCTATTTATTTCGAACCCTGAAAATTCAATTTGTGGCTGATAAACCAAAGCACATAAACGGGATTTCAAACATGCCAAATGTCGTTGTGATTGCTGCCTTTGGTATGTCCTTTAATTCCATAGGAATCTGGTGRTAGGCCCGACGCAGATCAAGTGTGGACAAAGTTCAGCAAAATTTGTACCTTSACTTTTGCCAATTTAAATTTCTCGGGAGTGATAAGCGTTTCGGTTTCGAGAAAACTGGTAGTCATTTGGTGACTATGTGATGCGTGACTACCTTTTTAYTTGTTGATATTGAATAAAGTCTGCCGATGTTCGTAATGAGTTTGAATTGTAGTAGATTGACTACTAAGTTAAAATGCGATAGAAAATTTGCTACGATGATGGCATGTGACACGTCGGCAATGATAACATTCCAGGAATATTGGCGACGTAGACCCATATGAAGAAACATAACTTTTTCGTAACTTTTTATGGTGGACCTGTTTTCTGAGTAGAATTAGTTATTTTCGTCGGTGTGCCTGTGTTGTTGTTGCGTCAGTGGAATTACGTTAACTTCTACTCCCATGTCGATAAAGAAGTTGATTGCGGATTCTTTGTCTCAAACAACTAAGCTTCGGTTTTTGTTGTTGAGCRCTGGGYGCGCAAYTAGTTATTGATTTATCGCACTTTTTGTAGTTTTGAACAGTACCGTTATATGGGGAGTGAACGTGGTTTTCATCCGATTTCATCCACTTGTACACTATCGCTAGGAGTCCGTCTCTGCATGCTTTAACTTAAGTAAAAATCTTAATAAAGCTTGATTCACATATTCCACTGCACGCTTAATAAACCTCAAATTAAGATAAAGAGTGTAGTTTGGTATAACGAATCGCAATAACGAAGGAAACTTGTAGTTTGAAAATTATTTAAAAGTATCCCGCCCGCTATGTTTTTCATATATCACCCAAATTTGCAGAGGATAAATCATTTTGACGCCTCTTACGATATCGCGTAGAAAAATGAAATCAGACCATAACCACGCCCATTCGCAATATAACGGTATACAAATCGGACCTTAACTGTTAAAGCCGAATATGTCTTTAGAGCGAACTTTTTATCGAAAATAAGTGAGATATGTTACAGAAATTCGGAGCAAATCCTGTCCTTTATGTCAAAAAGGGATTGAATCGAATGAATTCTTCTCCTTTCTGCCATATACCTAATTAAAAAATTTTCGAACTTCCTGTTTACTTTATACCACATACCAATATGTCGAGTTTTTAAATGAAAACCAGTCAGTGTGTTTTACTAATAACTGTGTATATTTGGGTCTAAAATTGATAAAATTKGATGAAAAATTGCTCTGACCCCCCATATAATTAATATATTGGTGATGGTAAGAGTACCTTAATGGAACTAAGGAAGCTAATTATTATATAGTATCTGACATGTTAGTAGCATGTGGTATTACAAAATGGTTAAAATTGGTCAATACGTCCATTAGTCTGCATATACCTAAAATACAATTTTCGAACTTTCGGCGGGCCATAACGAATTACCTCCACTCCCACATGTATATTACATTTAATCATTTTTGTTCCTTTTCAGGGTATGAGTTATATGTTTATAAAGTAGCTTGAAAATATGTTTTCTAGTATACCTGAGAACTGTGTGTTTATCATTAAATCCCTAATATAGTGAATTTCGATGTATTATGGAATCGTCTCAGTCCGACTAATCGGTCCAATTTTTTTTCTAAAGAAATACATTCTTGACGAATACAAAATGATTTTTGTATGATTATTTATTGGGTGTATAATAGTTAAATATTGCGGTCCCAATTTAGGTCCAAAGCAAAAATTTAAAAAATATTATTAAGCTCTAGAAAAGTTGCTATAGCGATATGGAAGCATTTTTTTTTTTAAATTTGACAAAATAGCAGCCGTTTAAAAAAAATTATCGAATTTCGCTTTTTTTGGGCATTTTTTCGTAGAAAAAAAATGGGAAGATTTAAAAAAAAACTCTCCAAACTGAAATTAGATATATTCTAAAATCTTCTTTTGAGAGTGGAAATCGTTTTGAAACACACCATTCTGAGAAAAACGCGTTTAAAGATTGGRGTCGCTATGTTCCCACTCTGTTAACTTTCTACAAGAAACGCTATATCGACCGTAATAATTTGATTTTCGATTTAAAAATTTTAGAGAATGTTTACTATAGTGTATACTATTTCGGTTTCTCGAAATTTTCACACTGAGACGATTCCTTAAAATTATCCTCTTCGCAACATTTTTTATTATATAATTTTACCACCAGTATTTATCTCGATTGGAAGTCTGCAAGCTGCAAGAGTATAAAATGTTGGGTTACACACGAACTTAGCCCTCTCTTGCTTGTTTAATATAAAGTTAAGTTAAGTATAAAGTTAAAGCTACACCYGAAAGTATTTCCCCAATGTTCACGTTCATATTACATTCAAACTTAGACCTTCCTTAATTGATTCCCTATATTTGTGTTAAAACGAAATACCATACATCTTATTATTCGATTCAAATACATATAATTGTCAACAATAKTTGTCATCATTTCAATATTGATTTGTTTCTTTATGCCACTTTCTGCAGATCTCTACGCAGTAATCGACTTGATGACACCAGAGGATCACATCGAACTCGTTCCATAATCATGTATGGACGTAGTGAGTTGGCAAGCACAGGGCAGAGTGCTCGATCCATTACAAGTTTGCTGCAGGAATCTACCGAAACGACGAAAAATCTTGCAACTTCCACTAAAAAAGATGTGCAACGTATGAGTAATAGTGTTCAGGAACAAATCGAGCAGCTTTTTACTGATGTGGCTAAAGATGCTACCAGCAGCTTTACCGTTATATACTTGGGTTCATTACCGCTAAAAGATAAAGTAACTAGCCTTCAAGGGCTTCAGCCACCTCTTCGTGAACTTTATTTAAAGGAGTTGAATACTAAGGTATTTGAATACATATACATACATATATGTAGTTAAATATGAATATAATATATTAGTGAATGAAAACGACTAACCGAGAATTTGTTTTATACAAATCATTTAGGAAAAGTGCTTTGGTTTTCTGGAAATCTGTACAACTGGGTTGCGAGTTAAAATTAATGCTAATTATAACACCAACACTCAAAGTGAAGAGAATATTACTCCATTTCACAACATAGCAGTTTGGTCCGCAGTGAAATTCGTTGTCTCAGATAGTGATGGCGGTGCTGCTTTTCTACCGTTGATTACAGACCCCGACAATATTGACAAAACGTCCTTATTTCGTCCATTGGAGTAAGAGGACACAAAATTTAATTCAGCGTTTTTGACTTTAATAAAAAATATCATTTATTTTGCAGTGGCAATGAAAAAAATCATGTTCCAAATAATGGGCATTCTCCAATTTTTGCAGTCGTTATGCGGGCCCCCGGTTTGCCAAAGGTCCTAAAATGCCATGCATTCATTTGTAAAAGCACCGAAGATGCAATTGTTATCGCTGCCACATTGTACCAGAGCTTAATGGCCCACGTAAATTCTAGTTCGCATCGAAGCACTAAACGACGTACACCACGCAATCAAAACGGCGTTAGTTGTATAAGTATTGCTAGTAGTTCGGCTCGAACGGGGTCAAATTATTTATCACAATCCCATGCCTTATCTAATGGTCGGAAAAGTTCTCTGCGTAGTTCTAGTGAAAGCATGAGCGCAGAAATAGCTACACCTCCTAGATCTGGTCGGAAAAAGCGTTTTTCCAACAGCTTTCTTACTTCTAGCAATAATGTTATTAACGAGACGGAAACTACAACTGAAGAACGAAGACGTAAATCTCAAAAAAGTAAACGTGCTCCTCCGGTTCCTAACGGTTTACACTCTAATAACTCTGTACGTAACATTGGTAATCAAGCTGCCATTGCTCTCAAAGACGCATTTTGTGAWGGTTGTGGAGGTAATAATATTAGTAACTTTTTTTACTTGTAAGTTCGATAGAAAGTGCTTACTATTCCGAAATTTTAGGTGGCGGCTTCTTATCGGTTGCGGGTTCATTGGATGGTAACTCTAACAGCGTCCTACGTAACGATAATAATGGAGATATACTAACCCGCGTAGCAATACCTCGATCCGGTAGCTTCCTAAACACGGGAGGACTTACGCGGTATAAATCAAGAGCTGCGCGTAGACATTCTGGTAAACTAGGCGGAGGTGGTGGGTAAGTGCCATTTCATTTTCTACTCAAGTGATTACACCGCTTTTTAGAATATCAACCTAAACCATTCTATTATATGATTGTTTCTTTCTCAACTTCACACCAGTTCGAAATAACAAAATTTCATAAAACTATGGCAAAGTCATTATGAAGTTCGTGCCACTCATTTTCACCGTCGCTGTTTCAAATGTTATTAGATTCTTAAACTCCTTCCTTTTATCTACTTTTTCATATTAATTGRCACAGAAGGTGGGATAAACATATATTACATATACATGTGCACGAAAATCAAACTAGTTTTATAATTAGACAATTGACGCTGTAGATTAATATTTCCTTACTAGGTTATACAGTAGGGTAGTATAACCACAAAACTGTGGAGTTATTTGATTTCCTTTAGACTATGGCAGCATTTGTCCATTTTATGGCTTATTAGAAACAATTAGGTCATTATGAATTACTATTGATGAATAGGTTCTCAATGATTACTTGATTACCAAAACATGTGCACAAAATCTAGGATCCATTTCAAATTACTATTGAATAAAATAGTATCTGTATGTTAGATACATACAAACTTGCATCCCTCAATTTGGGACCAACCCCTTATATTCTTATATTTTTCCCTAATGTCTACTATTCTGGGCATATGTGGTGTAGAATTCTTGATCAACTCCCTTAGTATTCGAATTGTTTGAATTTTATTTCTAGTTCACCACTTGGTTTCAGCGAACTGTTTAATGAATTCCGCTTGCATGAAAACCTTCATTCATTGGACGAAATTCTTTATGCCATAATTGACGCCGATGGTATGTCATTCAACGATCTTAAGCCAATCTACAAAGAATTCCTTATGAAATTGGCGGTAACCCTCACAAAGGATGAACTCTTCCAGCGATCAAAGAATATTATGCGGCGACAAAGGAAAAAGAAGTTTAAGCAACGAAGTAACGCTCCAGTAACACAGGTGATTACAAAGTACTTTAAAATATGAAAGAAACATTTAATATATTCGTGCATTAGTTTACATTTGTTTACAGATACATATTTAAATATTATTTATGCTTATTTATTTTAGAAAAAATCCAAAACGTTTATGTTTGGAACGAGGAGTTTAAAAAAAGTTCTCCACTTAGGCCAATTTAGATCCTGTCGCGGCAAACCAATGTCAAAATTTCCCCCGAATAAAAAAGAAGTCAGTAAGAGTAGGATGCATGCAGTGAAACCATCCGTCACAGGGCAGTCAAATGACCATCAGCGGATGSGAGTAGCAACCAGTGGTTCGGACGTATCGGTAGTGCGCAAAGACAACACACTTCGTGGGCTAAATAGAAATAGCAGCAGCGGGTACGTAGCAGGTCCTAGAAGTTACTTATCAGATTACAATGATTGCAATTGCAGCTACGTGTCTTGTTCCGAGTGCAGCTATGATTCAGAATCATGCACGTGCACATCAGCGGACCGATGTTACTGCAGTCTACGAACGGATCACGTCGACAGCAGATTACGCCACAAAAGTGAACGAAACATTATTACATCAAATAATACAACTAGCATCAGCAGACGAAATACAAATAACTCTTCTGGAGGTAACATTAATCGGGATTCCTTAATATCTTGCAAGTCGGATGAAAAATGCTACTGTTCCTTGGTAGAGGAAAAGAGTGCTTTGCCCGTGTGTGATTTTACAAACATAAATTCGGATACGACGTGGTGTGATACTGATAGTTGTGTCAGTACTAGCAAATGTTATTGCCAACGCAGCCAGCGTGATCGTCAACAAAGATCTATTCGTGGTGACACGAGTACTCCTTTTTCGCACAAAGGTAGTACTAAAAGTCAAACCGCCGCAGAGAAGCTTGCTTTGGATTACGAGCTCTTTACGATAAGCAGTAATGGAAAATCGGTCCAACCACATGAAGCATTAAGTGTAAAAAAAAGTGTAGAAGCAGCTGCTATATTTGCCGATATGAAACTTAGTCAAACAACTGACATTAAAAGCATGTGCCCACCACCTTCGATTAAATCTAAGACCAGTTTATCCGTAAGAAGTGCGCGCAGCGAGGAAGCAAAGAGGTTTGTTCAATCCGTAAAGAAGCGTGATTCCTCTAGTATCGATCGACGGCACAAACATCATAGTACCGGTGTTTTATCGTCAAGTTCATCCCAAAAATCCCATAGCGCTGAAGATTTATTGGGAAAATTGAGAGCAATGGAAAAAAACTCAAAGTCAGAATCGTTGAAGAGTGCCCGTGGCAAAGGTCAAACTTTGCTTACAGAGTTTAAAAAACATGGCAAATTGCATTGTAATTATCAGTCGATGCGAGCTGTGAATGCCTCTTTGGAAGACACTCTAGGGTATTTGCCATAAATCGAAGTTATGATGTAATGAAATAAAATTCTACGTATATTAATATTCATTGTACTTATGTAATGRAAAAATTCAACTTGTTTGAATTTGGCGTATTAATTTTGTCACATAAAAATATGTGTTTAAATTATTACTGTGGGCAAAAATAGTAAGACTTTTAATTTAAAAAAATTACGCATGAAAACCCATTTGTTGGATATTTTTTTCCTAGGCTATGACTATGACATCCGTCAAAATTTTGTGACAAAATTTTCACAACGTAATAATCACTAATGTTTCGTCTTTCTGAAGTACATAAAGTTTGCTAGGTGACTATTACGATGAGTGAAAATTTTCAACAAAAAATTATTGTTTTCATCGATTATCGAGGTGTGATGCACTCCGAATTCCTTCCAAGCGGCCAAACTCTTAAAAAGGAATACTATTTGAGTGTTATTCGTCGTTTGCGCGAAGCTATTTGTAAAAAGAGGTCGAAATTGTAGGTCGACCACTCTTTGTCGCATACTGCAATGATTCTTCGTGATTATTTCGCCAAATTTTCAATCACTATCGTACCGGAGCCACGGTATTCRTCTGATTTAGCTCCGTGTGACTTCTGGCTTTTCAGCCAACTCAAACGACCGCTCCGGAGAAACAGTTTGGAGTCAATTGAAGGCATTAAATGTTAATCGATACGCGCATTGAAGACTATTTCGAAAAGTGACATTAACACCTGTTTGGAAGATTGAGGACAAGGGAGATTACTTTGAGGGGACGACGTAGACTTTGAAGATCATATTAAGAATTTTAAAGTGATGAACAAAGTACTACWATTTTTTGCTCATAGTAGTATATTATGAGTATAACAGCATAATATATATTATTGTACAACGTTAAATGTATAACAAATAATTAATTAATAAGCACATTTAAGACAATTCTCTGCAAAAGTATTCAATTTATATTAGTTTTGTAATTATAAAAGTGTTATACAACTTTAAGTTGAGTTATGAGTGAATTTATAAATGTTTGAAATTAAAGTGTATTTAAGGTAATATTATAATTTTATGTATACATATACATACATATATTAGAAGCTTATCTGGATAAGTATTTCGTCAAAATATATCGAAAAACATTTATTTCGCTTCGCTGTTTCGATGCAATAAATTGGAAATAAATGTAGATTTTGGGTTTTATTTTGGACTCAAGTTTTTGTTCAATTGCAAAATATAGTTTGTGAAATTTGAATGTATGAATATATCAGAAATAACATTTTTAGTAACGAGTATCGAGCACAACGTTGTTTTTAGCTGTCAAGTGGCGTCTACCTAACCTAAGACACAGCTCAAACAAGAAAAAACTTAAAGTTGGGTAGATCCGAAGTTTTAATATCCTTCCCAAATACAAAAGATATGAAACAAGCAGTTGATTTTGAATAACCTATTCTAAATTGCGTAAAGATATGTACATACAAGCATTAGATTTCGATCGTTCAGTGTTTTTTTTTTTTTTTTTTTTTTTTTTTTTTTTTTTTTTTTTTTTTTTTTTTTTTTTTTTTTTTTTTTTTTGTTTTGCAGCTATACGCTATCTTTGTTATCGGAGTTATTTATTTTATGCATTTTTTTTTTTTTTGTTTTGCAGCTATACGCTATCTTTGTTATCGGAGTTATTTATTTTATGCAGTCATCGACTATCTCTCGTGCCGTAAAGACGTCTTTTGTTTTTCGCTTACGCAGTGCTTTTCTTAATTTCATCTACTACTTAATTCGTGATTCGTAAAGCACTCGCGAGCTTTATTTCTTTCATTATTCGTATTTACATTGCTCACTAGCATTCTAACCTCAAAAACATAAATACTGATCTCTCCAGACCTATTACATCCTACTCATGTTTCGCAATACACCATGTCATTAAACAAATCAGCAGTGAATGGCATAACACATCCACTCTTCGTGATGGAAAACTATTGCTTCTGGTAAAGAATAACAAAATAGCCGAAAAATTTCTAAGGGCAAAACAAGTGGTAGCCGTCTGTCCTATATTAGCCACGCTACACGCATCACTCTACCAAGTGAAAGGTACCGTATACGCTCCTTTTCTCAAAAATGTTGCAGAGGAGGAAATCATTAAAGAATTATCCTCCCAAGGAGTGGTTGAAGTTTATAAATTTAAAAAATATATCGATGGGAAATTACTACCATCGGGAGTGGTCTTGCTCACTTTTAATCTTTATAATTTACCCAATAAAATCGATATCGCCTGGTGCAAAGTATTAGTTCGCCAATATATACCCCT